GCAAGTTTGTCGAGTAGGTGAAGGACGGATATCACGCATGTATTGGCGAAGCCGGGAAGCGTAGGAATTAGGGTCCGTTTCACCAGTCGTTGCAGAGTCGACTATTATTTCACCTGGAAGACGTAAGGTAGTGCCGAATGCGAGTTCAGCGGATGTGCAGCCCAAGTCTTCTTTAACGGTATTGCGTATACTGAGAAGAATGAGTGAGAGGCGTTCAGACCAGTGTGTGCTAGAGGAGGCTATCAGCGATGCCTTAAGTTGTCGATGAAAGCGTACAACCATGCCGTTGGCAGCCGGATGGTATGCAGTTGTTCGGAAGTGATCCGTACCAAGTAGCCGTTTGAGGTAATGAAAAAGTTTTGAAGTGAATTGTGGACCTCGATCAGTGGTAATGGTAGCGGGTACACCGAATGTAGCGATCCAGCCATCGACAAACGTTCTAGCAACGTTTTCGGCAGAGGTGTCGTTGATCGGAATGGCCATGGGCCAGCGTGTGAAACAGTCGACACAGGTGAGTATGCGTGTGAAACCTCTGGATGGGGGCAACGGCCCAACCAGGTCAATGTGTACATTTCGAAAGCGTGAGTCGGGAAGCTGAAAACTACCAGTTGGAGAAATGGTGTATCGGTGGATCTTGCTCTTCTGACAGTCAAGGCATTGCTTGGCCCAAGTGCGTATCTCCTTTTGCATATTCGGTCAAACGAATCTTTGTGACACAAGTTGGGCAGTCGCTCGTATGCTGGGATGAGAAAGTGCGTGGAAGTGGTCGAATACAGAGCGTCTATGTTTTTCAGGAATAAAAGGTCTTGGACGTCCTGTGGATATGTCACAAACAATGAAACTGTCAGAGTTGAGGAGCGGTAGTGTGACGAATTTCAGAGATGGGAGGCTGGAAAAATTCGGGAATTCGGATTCCAATTGCTGATCAGAGGCAATGGCTTGTAGGTCGATTGGATGCGATGTTGTTTATCTCAATGCGGGAGAGGGCGTCTGCAAAGACATTTTCAGACCTTTCGATGTCAGTTGTAAACTGAGCAATAAAATATAAATGTCGGTTCTCTCGCGGTGAATGTTTGTCTTGAGTTGTTCTCAAGGCAAAAACGAGAGGTTTGTGGTCCGTGTAGATAGTGAAGTTTCTTCCTTCGAGAATGTATCGAAA